TTTAAATATATAGATCTTTGGTTAGATATGTAAATATATAGATCTTTGGTTAGATATGTAAATATATAGATCTTTGGTTAGATATGTAAATATATAGATCTTTGGTTAGATATGTAAGTATATAGATCTTTGGTTAGATATGTAAATATATAGATCTTTGGTTAGATGTGTAAAAGAAGAATGATGTTGACCTTTTCCGATATCGAGAAAAATTAATCATTAATTGTTAAATTTAATACAAATTGTGTACGTAATAGATGTTAAAAACTCGTTGTTTTTTTCGAATGTTTTTAGGGCAGGCTGGGATACCGGTAAACAAAGAAATTATTTAATATCATCGTATAATTTATATAGTTGTTGTCTGCTATTGTGGGAACTATCTGACTATTGGAAGGCAGTGTTGATTTGTGTCCAGTAAAGAGATAAACAGACTCGTTCCTAACTCAGGAACCGGTTAGACAGCAAACAGATATACCTCTACATACAGGAGTAGAGAACAGGCTGGCCAACAATTTCTCTTGTTTCTGTCGGGATGGAAACGGATGAAGCGATGGCATGCCATCTTGTGCAACTCAGTAACCCATGCGTTGAGTGGTGCTGTGCTGCGCACGGGTAAGGGTGTCACTAGGTTAGCTCGCCCACCACACGACGGCGAGGCTTACTGCGAGAGGCTGACAGACTGAGACGTAAGACAGCGGATCTTGAGGCTGCGGGTTGTCAGTTTCCGAACCGAAATCGACTCGTTTCTTCCTATCCACGAGAAATCCAGTATCTACACAGTAATTCTGGAGCTCTGATTATCAGTTACTGGTTTTTACCGGGCTGGAAGTCCAGTACGTCATGTTGTAGGCGTCCGAATAATTGAGGTAGGAAGAACACTAAAATAGAGTCCTACTTCATACCCTAAATTCTCGTAGCTACTAGTGTGTTACTCCGATGTGATTATCGCTTAAGTAAGCTAGACTCTCTATAACTTTTGTTTCTTAAAAGTTGAGCATTGTTTACCAACATCTGATTATATTATGGATTACGTGAGAGAATATAACACCCTTAACGTCATAGATTTTTCTAGTATTGAAGATGTATGAAATCGCCTGGTTTGAGGATAAGAGATTGCCACTTGTGTAATTACTACAGTGAGCCTGAAACATTCAACGTCAATGTTTTTATGTGTGGCTGTCTATCATTTTTTCTCTCAGTTTACGTATCTGTTGTCCCTTTTCTTTTCTTCTCTTTCTGTGTCTCTTATACTTGTCTGTCTCACTTGTTATCTATCTGTTTCTCTTCCTCCCTCCCTCTCTTTATTTATTTATATTTATATATATGTATGTGTTTGCGTCTATTTTCCCCTTTTCTGTATATACATATTCGTTTTTCTTCAGTTTATATAATTAAGTGTATTTTTTCATGTGTCCACATATTATCTGTCTCTCTTATTTCAGTCTGTTTTTCTTTATCTCTCTTTATATTCCTCTTTTCTTTTCATTCTCTTTGTATTTCGACGAGTATTTCTCTCATGTGTTCGTATACCTGTGTTATCACTCTGTTTATATACAGTTCCATTTCCATTTTTCTCTGTTTATATATGTCTCTCTTTATAAAACCACCTGTTTCTTTTTCCCATGTTTGTCTTTCTCTTTCTATCGTACACCATTCTCTCACTCTTTCGTTAGATTTATATAACCATTACATCTGTCTTTCTCTGTATACTTACTTGACTCTCTTTCGTCATATATAACTCTTCTATATTTGTAACTATTTCAGTAGTCTGTGTCAGTCTTAGTTCCATTTTCTGTCTGTGTATTTATCATACTATATTTATAACTGTTTCAGTAGTCTGTGTCAGTCTTAGTTCCCTTTTCTGTCTGTGTATTTATCATACTATATTTATAACTGTTTCAGTAGTCTGTGTCAGTCTTAGTTCCCTTTTCTGTCTGTTTATCTGTATATTTATCATACTATATTTATAACTGTTTCAGTAGTCTGTGTCAGTCTTAGTTCCCTTTTCTGTCTGTTTATCTGTGTATTTATCATACTATATTTATAACTGTTTCAGTAGTCTGTGTCAGTCTTAGTTCCATTTTCTGTCTGTTTATCTGTGTATTTATCATACTATATTTGTAACTATTTCAGTAGTCTGT